TGTACATATTAGAAAACTCAAGTAGTTCTTTTGGAGTGTAGCGTACCTCCTCCTGGGTCACACTTTGTACTTCACCTTTTGGGGCTCGCTGGGACTTAAGCCTAGTTATAGGTCTAGAAGCCAGAATCCATAGTGTGGAATTGTTTTGAGAACTTTCAGCATTATCTTGTAAAGCATCTGCCTCAAGCGATGCTCCTGGCAATGACTCAGGCAAGTGCTCTTCAGAGGCAGCTGGGATAGGGCTAATTTCATTAGATGGGAGCGGAGGGGCTAATGGTTTTTCTGGGCAGGGTGGTTTAGCAGACAAACATGAAGTAATCTCTTCAGATGGGAGTGGTTCTGCTGGCAGGAGTGATTCAACAGAATTTACAGGCTCAGTGTCCCCAGCTTCCTGATTATCTGCCTATATGTCCCCATCTCAAGTCTCAGAATCCCATCTCTTTCCAATCAATGCCCTTACCTTAACTTCAGACACCTCTTGAGGTTTGCAATTGAGCTCGTGTTGTAATTCAGCCACTCTTACAATAAGACTCTGGGTTTGGTTTTCAGCAATTTCAGCTCTGTTACTTCAAGAAATAAAGCTTTCTTTCAAAGCACAAGTGGAAGCCTTGAGGTCATGCATGCGGCACTTGAGCCTTAACTCTGAAGCCCTGAGTGCATCTCTTTCCTTCACCAGTTTGTCTAGCAGAAGTGGTACAAACCAACCAGTTTCCTTATACTTCTTATTCTGACAAAACTGTAGAAAGATATCACACATGTAATCACCCTGAGCCTCGCCTTTCACCAATACCTGATCTACTGGTGGTAATATTTTGCATATCTGTATCGCCATCTTGCTCCATAGACTAGCAATGACCTCTTTACTGCTGGAAGCAGAGTCATCAACATCTTAAAGACTAACCAGACTTAAGAACCAATTTAGAAAACTCATCCTTACAATTTTGTTTCTCTAGAACCACTCTTGGTACCAAAGTGTCTTAGGCTGGGTTCTCTAGAGAAGCAAAACCAGTAAAGTGTATAAATACGTATATATAGAGAGATTTATATCAAGGAAACAGCTCACACGATTGTAGAGGCTAGAACATCCCAAGTCCGTGGATCAGGGTAGAGGCCTCTCCCAAGTCATGCAGCTGCAAAAGCTGGCAAGCCCAGATCAGCAGGTCAGAGAGCAGGGCTCCTGCTCACAGGCTGTGTAGATCGACGAATCCCAAGTTCGGCAGATAAGCTGACAGCTCAAATCCCAAGAACTGCAGATGAGGTGACAGGAGTAAGCCGCAGGATCCAGAGAGAGCAAAAAGCCAGAATGTCTGCTTATATTCAGATGCAGGCCACACCCCCAAGAAGACTGCCTTTCATCTGACTGGCTATTCACAGTATATTCAATCATGGGAGTGATTACATTAAAACACAGAATCATGGCCCAGCCAAGTTGACACACAATCTTAACCATCACACAGCTAAACTTCTTTGATTTCACAAAGTGCAGAGCAGTAATTTGGGGGCCCAGCAGACTTTAAAATTTTATTATAGAGCATAGCTGATAAAGGAGTTTTGCTTTGTTGCAGAGGAAAAACTCCAAGTTTGCTTAAAAGTAAAATAAAGGTTTACTGAAAGAAGAATCATTCGAATGGGGAAACGAGGGCTCCACTGAAGTGAAACCAATGAATCAAAACCAAACCAGTTGCTGTCCAGTCAATTCTGATTCATAGCGACTCTATAGGACAGAGTAGAACTACCCCATAGGGTTTCCAATGAGTGGCTGGTGGATTGAACTGTAGCAAAATCAGGAGGTACAACCCACAATAATCTGATTGGTGGATAATAAGGTAAGAGAATCAAAGGCAAGACATTGAGAAGCCAGCCTTGGATATCACTGGTTACAAAGTCACATTTGGCAAGATGGGATTGGTTGACAAAAATAAAATAAAATAAAATTGCAGGATATGATTAATGTTGTAATGATGAAAAGTACTGGTCATAAGACTTTCACATATAATTACTCACAGGAACACATTCCATAGGTGAACTTATCTTCCTGGGGGTGGTCTGTATGTAGTCACAGGATGACTGTTGTTAGGTGCCGTGTAGTCGGTTCCAACTTATAGCGATCCTATGTACAACAGAACGAAACACTGCCCCATCCTGTGTCATCTTCACAATCACTGCTATGTTTGAACCCATTGTTGCAGCCACTGTGTCAATTCATGTCATTGAGGGTCTTCCTCTTTTTGCTAACCCTCTACTTTACCAAGCATGATGTTCTTCTCCAAGGACTGGTCTCTCCTGATAACATGTTCAAACTACATGAAATGAAGTATCGCCATCCTTGCTTCTAAGGAGCATTCTGACAGGATGACTTAAAAAAAAACCTGTTACCATTGAGTTGATTCCAACTCATAGTGACCTATAAAACAGAGTAGAACTACCCCATAAGGTTTCCGAAGAGTGGCTGGTGGATTTGTACTGCCAATCTTTTGGTTAGCAGCCAAGCTCTTAACCACTGAGCAACCAGGGCTCTGACAGGATGACTAGAAGCAGATATCCTGAGAAAGGATTGTTAAGAGTATCCTGCTTAAGGCAGAACATTTACTGAGACTGTCTAATACTAAGGGTTTGATAACCATTTGTGTCAATATCCCAGGAGACAATGCATGCCAGCCCCTGGGGGATGACTACAGAGAAAAAAACAACTTAGTAAGCAGGTGTCGCTTCTGTTACAAAGGTCAACTGCTTCTGTAGTCAAAGCTAGAGTCAAAGATGGGGTGTGGGTCCTGATTTTAAATCAGCCATTTTAGTTTAGTCAAGTGCCTCTCAACTTTAGCGCTCCTCATCAGCTTATATGGAGCATCGACCTTTGCTGATTTCTTGCTTTTGCTGATTTCTTGCGTATATAACTTGCGTTTTTTATCAGCACAGTAGAGCTCTCAAAAATGTTATCAACACTTTTTGGCGCCAAGATTCGTGTGACTCAGGGGCTAAACGCTCCACAGTACTCTCTTCACATCTTGAGGAAAGTAGAGAACCATTTTTAAGGGGCAGGAACTAGATCTCAGATCCTGGGGGAACTGGTAATAGGGGCAAGAAACTCTAGTGAGGTTCTCCCGCTTCTCTCCTAATTCACAGCAGCAACATGACTGGAGTCTTTGACCTTGCTCAAAGCTTGAAGACCGCCGCCCCCCGTCCCCACCCCAGCCCGCGCACGTGCCGAGATAGGAACAGAGATCAGGAGTTACTATGAGACAATTTCTGTTACATGTCATTTAAATTTCAAGTATTGGAACTGAATTCGCAGCTTGTCCATGCAAGATACTCCAGGGCAGACCCCCAGAAGGACTACCAATCAGTGGTTTAGGAATAAAACCATAATGAGGTGAAATGAGAACCTTCCCCCACGAACCCACCAAACACAACCTCCCTTTTCCTCCTTCACTCCGCCTTCACCTTCGCCCACTCTCCGCCCACTTCCCCAGTCTGGGCCCGCCTAACTCGCTGGCTCCGCTGTGTCCCACGCCCAGCTCAACCCAGCGAGGCGGACGAGTCCCGCAAAGAACAATTCCATCCGGGTGCTGTGTCGGGGAGGGCAGAAGGGCGTGGCTTGTGGCGTCACCAGGGGGAGGGGCGACGAGCCGACTGGGACAACGCGACGGAGGGGCGGAGGGAGTGGCTGGGAGCCCCTTTCCCCGCCCCATAGAAACGCCATACTGGAGGAGAGGGGAGTCTCTATTCCCAAACTCCCCTTTGAGGAGGGCATGTTATTTAGAAAGTTTGACTTCAAAGACGCAGCCTTTTAAGGAGTTTTTGTACACTCTTCTCTTGTCTTCTTTCCTCTATCCTTAATAACCATGACAACCTTCCCGCCTTCCAGCCCTTTCTCCCCCTTTGTCCCTGCGTAGATGGTGGAGGCCCGTGCGCTGCGCAGCCGCAGAGGGTTCGGGGCGGTGCCTGTGAGGGGTGGGTGACGCAGTGGCTGTCGCTGCCATTTTAAGTTGTTTGTTCTTGCTGCTTTTCTCAAACGCGACTCTGCCCCGGACCCGGAGGCGCCCGAGGCCGCCGCCGCTTCCGCAGCCACCGGTGGGGGGGAACGAGGCTGTGTCATCGCGGACACTCACCATCCGCTTCGGCTTTTCCCCCCTCTGGGTCTCCTTTATCTTCTTTGCTGAGAGCTGGAGCTCGACCGGGGGGGAAGAAGGACTCAAGAGCAGATGCTTGAACTGAAATAACTTTATCTGGGGGGTTTACTTCGCTGACAGATCCCTTAGTGCAGGGCTCCCCTCCCCCTCGCTGCCAATACCACTCCTATCCCCTCCTCTTTCTCCTCGTGTTTCCTGCTTTTCTCTTTCTCTCCCCGTCGCCGCTGCCCGGGGCGCCGAGCCAGACTATGGGTCCCAGGTGGGGGCTGAGCAGCGGCAGTAGCGCGGGCGGCCCGGTCACAGTGCGTACTACAGCGGGGATGGAGGGGCTCAGTTGGCTGGTGGTTTTCTCTTGACATGGCTTCTGCCAGTGCTGCGAGCAGCGCCCCCGCCGCCGCCTCTTCTTCCGCTGCCGCCACCGCTCCGCCCGCAGGCTGCGGCTAGAGGGTCCGAGCCCCGCCCGAGTGTCGGTCAGTGAGTCCCGGTTTCCGCGAGGACAGGGAGGGTATTTCCCCGTCACCCACCCTCGCCCCAGCTGCCTCAGTTCCACCCCCTGCCTCCTCGGGGAACAAACTAACGACCCCATCCCAAACAATCCAAACTCGGGAAACATGGTCTGTTCAATGTGAGAGAGAGCTAATCCGGAATCCGGGAACTTAATTTTTCTTTTTTGGGGGGGTGGGCTTAACTTTTAAAAATAATATTAACACAGTTGTTTTCTTTTTTTCTCATTGATCCTACCCATTTACCCTCTCCCGCCTACTCTACCCGGGCGGGAGTTGTTTCCACGATGAAATGAGTGAAAACCTGAGTGATCCTGTGTTTCCCGTGGTGCGAGTGAGTCGCTGCCGCTGAAGGCAAGGGGTGGGGTGGGGCCTGGGGGGTGAAAGGCAGGTGGTCCCTGGGCACTGCCTGGGATCTAGGAGAAGAACCCCCCACCTTTGCCTTAGTAATGCTCAGAAGAAGATAAATCGCACTCCCCACCATCTTGAGCAGGGGCAAATTCATAGAGAAATCTCCCTTGGGGAATATAGGACTCGTTGCAGGTCTGGGGGTTTTGGGATCCCGGGCATTAATCAGGTCTAACCACAGAGCCGGAGTAATTATTATATCATATCGTATACCCTTTTTTCCTCTGCCATCATGATTCTCCTTGGCAGCAGCATTGGCAGCCGCCTGAGGGTGAAAATGTGGGTGATGGGGAAGTTGGTAGTGACTCCGCTGTTTTTTCTTATGGCTCCTTTGGGCGACTGCTGCCCGCCCCCGGTATACACTGTAGTTGATTGCAGGGAATCCCTGTACCTCTCCCCTTCCTTCACTACCGATTTTGCACTTTTCTCTTTGCTCACCACCAAGTGTAATCAATAACAAGCACTGACAATACATAGCAATAGTGAAATCTGAAATAACTAATAAGAGTTAATTAGGTACTACAGCCATGGATCTGGCTGGGTAAAATCCAATTGGATATTTCAGTTTCATTCACCTACCCTGTTTCGGTGTTTTGTTTTTGTTTTTGGAAAGCAAGGATCACACTTCCCCCTTCCCGTTCGTTTTCATAATTCCTTTTGTAAAGAGAGGGAAAAAAATCCGAATGGATCTTAAGGATTTTTGGACTGGTGTCAGCTGTGTTTTTTTTATTGCACACCTAAATCCTGATAATAGGCTTTTCATTTCTCCCTAAAGCCTTTATTTTGGCAGTTAAGCCAAATGTGTTTTCCAGAAAGTTGGTTCAAGTATTTTCTCCTCTTTCTTTCCTTCCTTCCCTTCCTTTTTCCCATTTAACCCCAAACATTACTGTCCAAACATGACTGGACAGCAGCTTTTGTTTCTTGACGCTGTAATATGACAGTCTGCTAATATTGCCAGAAGGTGCAGTTTGGGGTTACAGTCGTGATTTTAGCTATTCAGTCATATTAGCAGGGAAAAAAAATGACTTGTTTCTGTTGTACTTGAGTCTTAAGAAAAAGTGCCCATAGTTTAGTGACAATTTCCAAAGGCTTTAGTACCACCTGTATTTCAAAATGGGGGACCCAAACTCCCGGAAGAAACAAGCTCTGAACAGACTACGTGCTCAGCTTAGAAAGAAAAAAGAATCTCTAGCTGACCAGTTTGACTTCAAGATGTATATTGCCTTTGTATTCAAGGAGAAGGTAATTTTAAAGTTCTTAAAATGTGAATTAGCACAAGTGATTAGCAAGTGTGTACTATTGGGTTATCTGTTACTCTTAAAAAACTGAACTGTTAGATCAATGAGTGGTTGAAAAAGTACTTTGTATGCTTTGTCTTTCATGGGTAATTCTGTGAATTGAGTAGTTGTGGTTTGGAGATAACTTAATTCTAAAGTCTAGGGTCCACTTTTAGTTGACTTGGGTGGGTAACATTGTAAAAATTTAGTTTGTGTGAAGTTACATAGGGCACTTCATAACAATTTAAAGATTGTCATGTAAAATATAAATAGGCTATTTGAAAATGATAAATTGGAATCAAAATCATGATAGAGGTACCTTTTTTCATGGTGTACTTAATGAAATGCAATATGCTGTAATTTTTACAGTACTTAAATACTGCAATGGGTATTTGGTATTTAGAATTACAATTTTTGAAAATTGAAAATGTCCTAAATAGTTTATTATTACTATTTTTTGTCTTGGAATTAGTGCTACAGTTTAGCAGCAAATAGTGAGTTGTAAATAGTTGAGGAGAACATGATATAAATAAGCAGTAGTTTTTTTCAACTTAAAATGGACAGTTTCTAAAATAATCAGCAAGGCTGTTTGATTTCAGATTAGGTTATGAGTATAAGGAAGTAGTGCTTTAATTTTTGTATATAAATTGTGAGCTAATTTCAGATCAGAAATACAATCTTAGTATGATATCTATTTAGTATTTGGGAGTTTCCCAGGTTTTTATTCCACTTTTAACTCTTAAAGGTTATTAGTATTTAGAAACATTCTTAGCTGATAGATTATAGCAGTGTAAAGTGTCTTCAAAAATGATTTGTTTTGAAGTGTTTGTCAAAAGATCAGATAGTCCCAAGGATTTACTTTCCTGTGTTCTCTCTTTTTTAATAAAACAAGATGACTGCAAAATTGATAGGATTAGATTTTTTTTTAATAACTGGAAACTTTATTCTGTGAATGTACAGTATCTGGGCAATTACCACGAATAGTTCATGATTATACTCCACGATACAGAATTTTACAGGTTTAGGTTGATGATAAGCACTTGGACTCACCTAATTTTGAAACTCAGCTTTGGCAGAATTTTTTTTCTCCTTTCAGGTGTTGACGCTTGTTATATAATGCCCTGGAAGAGAAATGGAGATTGAACCATATAAGGAGTAAAACAATCAACTTGTCTCAGTAGCTTCTTTTTTATTTTAACTGCTGAGGTTTTAATTTAGTTGTATGTAGAACAAGTTAAGTGGAACTACGTCATTGATTTTTTATTTTTTAACCTTAAGAGTATCTGATGTTTGGTCCTTATAGCATTTAAAAAATGTTGTTATCTAACATAAGTATCTGCTATGGATACCATAATACTATGAAACTGGGCAGTTAAAAATTCTGATAGTAGCATATTTGTGTGGAGGGTGAGGAAGGGTGAGTAAAAAGGATCAGCCTATCTGAAAATCTGTATTTTCAGGGGAAAAGTTACTTTAGACGGTTAATTTTGCCAAGTTGGAATAAATACATTTAACATTGCTATGTGAATTGGGAGTTAAAAGACACTGCTATCAGTGGGTAAATAGAACATTTTTTTCTTTTAGAAGAAAAAATCGGCACTTTTTGAAGTGTCCGAAGTTATACCAGTCATGACAAATAATTATGAAGAAAATATCCTGAAAGGTGTGCGAGATTCCAGCTATTCCTTGGAAAGTTCCATAGAGCTTTTACAGAAGGATGTGGTACAGCTCCACGCTCCTCGATACCAGTCTATGAGAAGGGTAAGTGCTGTTTTTAAGTCTTGATTCGCTAGGTAAGTTTTTGTGAGTTAAACTTGCATTTCTTTCGTCCTTCCCCCCCCCCCCCATAAAAGTGAGTAGTTACTATGGTGATGAATCTCTTGGAGTAATACAAGTTTTGTGTAACCAGAAATTAAGGTTCTTTTACAAGGCCTGTACAGTGTAGTAGGTCTTGTCAGTTAACAGTATATTAAAGTAAATGAGTTTAAATTTTTAAAAATTTATTGTGGTTAAATAAACTTTTACCATTTCAGCCATTTATACATGTAAATTGAGTTTTAATTTTTAATTTGTCTTCTACAGTAGAATTCATTCTTAGCTACTATCTAAACTCCACAGATTTTGACAAATATTTTTCGATCGTGTGTTTTGTTTGTCCCAGTTCATGCTTTCATTATTCAAGCCATGTTAACAACTGGTATCATGCAATAGAGTCTTTAAACATCTGTGTTTGATTAAAAAAAAAGAAACAACAAAACAGTTGCCATCAAGTCCATTCAGGCTCATGATGACCCATGTGTGCCAGTCGAACTGCTTCATAGGGTTTTCAATGGCTGATTTTTTGAAAGGAGATCACCGGGCCTTTCTTTCAGGGCTCCCCTGGGTAGGCTTGAACCTCCAACCTTTTGGTTAGCAGCTGAGCATGCTAACTGTTGGTACCACCCAGGGACTCCAATGTGTTTGATAGGGTTAGAAAAGTGTAGTTTTTGCCGCAGACCATTCTTTAGATGGATAAAGTGTGTGGAGGCGGTCTCTTTAATTCAAGTTAGGTGCTGGTGATAGCCAACTATTTTTAATAATTCAAGTGCTACCTATAAAACTTTATTTTTAAATTCCTAAAGTAGGTTTGTTTTATAAAAGTTGACATCAAATAAAACATGTATGGAGAACTGAACTTTGCTTCTGTGGTGTTATGCTTATAGCAGTGTACAATATTCCTATAAAGTTTTTCCTTTATGTGGGGAAAACTAAGGTCATGCCCCTTTATAAATAAGAAACTTAAAGTAGAAGGTATCATTGGTGCTAACCTTCTAAACTTCTATAACACATTGAGAATTAACGTGGTGTTCTTGAACAAGAGGTCCTCACAATTAGTGGTAAGTGTTAGAAGACTGGAGATAGCCATGTATTGGTCTGGTAAAGGATCATTGGCCTTGAAAATTATATGTTGGACTGTGATAATGAAAGGGAACAGCAGTGGAGAAAAGGTAGTTTTTAATCACCACATAACAAAAATAGCATTTGAGCTGTAATAAGGAGGTAGTGACTCATATGAGAAGGTCCAGAACACCTTTGCTTGATTTTAAAGGGTAAAAATAAAGCTATAGGGACTTATCCAAAAAAAAAAGAAACAAAAAAAACCCACACACCAAAACAAACACAAAATCAGAGCTTTATTTGGAGTTTTCACCATGTACTGATGAATCTAGACCTTGGTGAGAGGAACACTGGACTGAGTGACTTGTACGTGGACTTTATTGTTCGGGATACCCATTGTCGTCGAGTTGATTCCAACTCATAGCAACCATGTAGGGCAAAGTAGAACTGCCCCACAGGGTTTCCAAGGCTGTACATCTTTACAGAAGCAGATTGCCAGGTATTTTCTCCCGTGTAGACTCTACTGGATAAAGTTTAAAATTAAGTCCATAAGCTATTCTGATTGTGTACAGTCGTATTACTATTACTTCTTAAGAGATAATTTTTTAAATTACTTTTTGTACTTGTAGAATGTTTTTATAGTCAAACCATGTGACGTATGATATTGCTTGTTAAGCTTTAAGTTTCTTTGAAAGTAAAATTTTTTTTTTTTTTTGGTCATTTTCTAGGATGTAATTGGCTGTACTCAGGAGATGGATTTCATTCTTTGGCCTCGGAATGACATTGAAAAAATTGTCTGTCTCCTCTTTTCTAGGTGGAAGGAATCTGATGAGCCTTTTAGGCCTGTTCAGGTATTTTATTCTGAAAAAAGTGTAATGAACAGTTCAATAAATGAAAACTCCTGGAATAGGGACTAGAGAAATTCTTTGGGAATATGCTTTCTAGTAAGTTTTGTTTAGTGGGTCCCTCCTGTCTTTTTGAATGTTGAGATGTGAAGGGGAGAAAGCATTTGGATTATAGAATCTTTTAAGATTGAGTTGGTTCTAACTACCCAGTATGTCTTAGAAATTATGGCCAGAGAAAATCTTTTAAAGTAGATGTGTGTTGATTAAGAGAAGGGCCAGTGGATGAGCTTCATAAGATCTGTGATCCTCTTCCCTCTCCACCCTGAAGTAGTATATGTAACTAGCCTCATTCTCATAGGAGTCTGATCTAAGAAACTGCATAAGAAACCCTTTTCTAGAAGTTAATTTGTATATAAAACTATACAGGAGGGAAATAAATTTAGTAGTGGTTCATAATTAACCTTCCTTGACATATTGCTAGCATTTGACTGGTTTGACATTTGATGTATTTGATAATTTCTAGTGTTAATTTAAGGGCCTTTAGCTATGTGTTGATGATCCTCATTTTATTTATAGTACATAGTATAGAAAAAAGGAGAACAGGATCCACCAAAATGTTAATTGTGGTTAGTTCTAGTTCTGGTATAGATAACTTTTCTTTTTAATACTTGGAAAATATATATGTATATGTTTTCATAATCTTCTACAGTGAGCATACATTTATAATAAGAAAAAGAAGTAATGACTTTGAAGACTAAATATTAGAAGTCTTATTTTAAGCTAATTGTTTAGGAGTATGAAAACTATTTGTCATTTAGAACATTTCTTATCTATCCCCTTGCTATGAAGGATATTTATGGTGCTTTTGTGTGTGACAGACTGTATAAGCTAGAATACTCCCCTGGCCCCCGTGGTGATGTTGCCACACATTAACTCAAATTATCATTCCTTATTCTAAGAGCCATTTGACGGTAATAAGTTCTCAAGATAATGCATAGGTTAAATACAAGTAAAAGTATCATATAAACAAAAACAGTTGCCATGAGTCAACTCGGGCTTGTGGCGACCCCACATGTGTTATAGTAGAACTGTACTCCAGAGGGTTTTCAATGGCTGATTTTTTGGAAGTAGATGCAGGCCTTTTTTCAGAGGTGTTTCTGGGTGGACTTGAACCTCCAGCCTTTCGGTTAGTAACCGAGCGTGTTAACCATTTGTACCACCCAGAAGCTCTTATCATATATTTGTGTCCTTTTGACGGATATCTAACTGACACGAATATGTTGGCAAATGTAAGTTGAATACAAAAGGAGAAGGGAATACAAGCATAGAAAAAGCATGTTTATAGTTATCAGGCAGGTCTTACAAACTCCTTAATTCTCACTACTTTCAGGGAGAATTGTTAGGGTATTTTTAAATTCAGAATTTCCCATTGGAGAATTATGGGTTCGTTTATCATCTTGGCACCTCGTCTTTCCCTCTGGGACCTTATTTGGAATAGTTAGTTAAAATAGTCTTGTCTCAAGTTAAGTACTTCTTTACTTTGAAATCATGGCTAATGTTTATTGAGAGTTGACTGTGCTGGGCATTCTTTTAATATTTTATATACATTTTATCTTAGTCTTTCCAATAACCAGGGTATACGTGAGCCTCATTTTGCAGAGAAAGAAACTGAGACAGTTAAAGATTAGGTAAATAGTAGACCCAAGGTCATGCCGTTAAGTGGCAGTCAAGACATAAACCTGGACTGACCGTAAAGCTTACGCTCATGTTCTCGACCACTACACTGTACTATGAAAAGTTCCTTTTATTATTATAAAACCTTAAATTTTGGACTGAATATAAGCAGTAGGACATAGGCAATGTCTTTTGATTTTAGAATTTAACTGCAGTAGATAAATTAACAATATAAGAACTAATTTACTCCCTGAAGATATTTAAAATATTTGAATATCCTGACTGAGAAGCCTTAAGTATAAGTGACCTAGAACAAAAAGAAAGGTAAACTATAACTTTGCAAAGTTTTCTTTTAATTGCTAAAGGACTTTAAAATCTGAATACCTTGGCAGTGAGATTTAATAGGAACCAGCGTAAAGATTATTTTCAGATATTGAATTCCTGGTATATTCAGAGTTCTGCAAAGTTCCTGGGTGGTGTTAAAATATATCCCTTAATACTACTTACTGCCCCAGATTGGCTCTTCATCCCACTATTAGAATATTTCATTACTTTTCTTCTGGAATTGCTTATTTAATGCTATTTATAAGAGTTTTCTTCTTTGGTATTGACCATTTCTTCTCAAATCTGTGGACTATTTTCAATAGTATAGAATTGAAATGCTGTAAAATTATATTTAAGGCCTTTTTCAGTCTCACCCAAACCTCTTTTCAGTGTGATATTCTGTTGGCTTCTACCATCCACCCTGGTATTTGCCATATTGGAGTACTTGGGGTTTTCTTATTTGAACAGTATCTTGATTTTGACACAGTTTATACTTGTTGTTGGTCCTATTTCCTAGAAAGACATTTTTCCAAATTACTAAGCAGTATGACTTTCCCTTGAGAAAATTCTCATCCTTCAAGGCCCTGTCCAGATGTCACGTGCTAATGCTCCCTGCATTACCTACTCTGTTAATTATTTCTTCTTTCCCCACTTTAATGCTAAGAACCCAATTTAGGGTTTCACAAATAAATCACGTCTTATTCTAGAAAAGGATTTGAAGCAAGTTAAGTTTTTTATATTTATATGTGCTCGTCCTTTTCAGAAGTGAATGAGCCTCTTAAGGTTGAAATAACTTTATTTATAGCTTCCAGTATCTAATATAGTCCTTTCTATATACCAAGAGTCCAATAAGTATTTGAATTGTACAGAGGTGCAAAAGCAAATAAAATTATTAAAGTTGGAGTTTGAACACTTAATATGAATTTTAAAAAGAAACTGTTAATTATAGTGAAGAATAAAATAATATGCTATATGGCACTTTCATCTAGCCAGGAGACCATATCTTATTTTATAGCTTAAAATCTATTTTTTTTTTAAAAAAAAAAGGTGGTAAAATTCTAGATAGCAGGAACTAATGGTTTTTCTGTGGTGGTTTTTTTTTTTTTACTGTGTTTGACATAATAGTGGAATAAAAATTGAACCAAAATGAATCAGAAGTCACTTACAATACTGTGTTATCTAAATATCCAATTATTTAGGTAAGGTCTCATAAGTTTCTTGAATTCAATGTTAAACTTGGTCTTTTCACCCAGCATTTGGCCTCTCCCAGTGATAACCATGCAGATTTTGTGGGAGCATGGAGTTTATCTTAATCATGTTAAAAGATTAAAAGAATGTTCTGGCTTAACTTGGTAACAATCCTTTATAACATGGAAACATTTTTTAAATAACCTGAGGCTAGCTGTAAAAAAAAATGTACATAAAAACATATTTTCTTAAAAATTTCAAGAGGTTCATAAATCCTCTGAAGCTCATTTGTGTGAAGAATGGAACTGTATGTCAGGGTGGGCTTTACGTTATTTCATTTAATCCTCTTAACTGTCCTGTAAGATGGGTTAGAGCCTTATTTGATAGGTGAGAAAGCTGAAATTTAGAAGGTATGGTGTCTAAATGAAGTCACATAGCTAGTGAGATGTATAGCTGGGATTTGAATAAACATTTCTTTCCAAGAGCCATCATAGTGTTTGTCATCATTGAAAGGAAGGAGGTGTCATTGGAGTTTAAAAGTACTAACGTGGAAGTCTTGAGCTGAGTGGGTTTGAAAATGTGATTATATGAAATTTGATTATAGACAGTAGTGTTTAACTGACAGTATTAGGATTTAGTCATTTTGGTGCAGATCGTGAAGGTCATATAATGGAGTGCTGTCCAGTAGAACATTTTTGATGAAAGAAGTGTTACACATCTCAAGAGGCTGTTCAAAATAGTGGCCACTAGCTATATGTGACTATTGAGTATCTCAAGTATGGCTAGTGTTACTGAAGAACTGAATTTTAAATTTTATTTAGTTTTAATTTAAATAGCCACGTATGGCTATTGGCTACCATATTGGACAGCACAGATACAATGCATATGGATGCAGTGGATGTATCAGGTAGTGTAACACGTTTGTAGTTATACATAAGTGTTTGTATTTCTTATTTAGGCCAAATTTGAGTTCCATCACGGTGACTATGAAAAGCAGTTTCTGCATGTACTGAGCCGCAAGGACAAGACTGGAATTGTTGTCAACAATCCTAACCAGTCAGTGTTTCTCTTCATTGACAGACAGCACTTGCAGGTAATGAGCATTTTTTTTTTGAAAACCTCTTAAGGGCTTGTTTGAAGATACTAGCTTATTGGTTAGTAAACTGTTTTCTTTGCAAGATACTTAGTTTTGATCTGCCCCTTCAACACTGCATTATTTTTGAAGTTATTTAAAAAACAAACAGATGTCCTGAGGCTTGCCCTAGAATAGTGGTTCCCAAACTTTGCTGCACATTAGAACTATTTGGGAAGTCAGACGGTAGAGTTGGAGAACCATTACTCTAGAGCTTTTCTACCTAAAATCTAGTCAGCATATGTCAGCATCAACTGGGCGCTTGTTGAAAATGTAGAATCTCAGACCCTGCTCTGGTCCGCTTCACCAGAATCTGCATTTTTCCAAGATCCTCAGGTGACACGTTACGTTTTGAGAAGCACTGGCTTAGACTTTTTAAATCAAAATCTAAAGAGATGAGACACATTTGGATTTAAAAGATCCTCGTGTACTTCAAATAAGCAGTTCCAATTTAGGCAGTAATCCAAGTAATCCAATTTATTTATTTCTCTCTCTCTTTTTTCTTTTTTAAATTGTGTTTTAGGTGAAATGAGCAAATCAGTTTCTCATTAAACAATTAATACACAAGTTGTTTTGTGACGTTCACTGCCAACCCCGTGATGTATCAACACTCCTCTTCTCCACCCAGCGTTCCCGGTTTCCATTCATCCAGTTTTGCTTTCCCTTCCTGCCTTCTCATCTGCTTTTGGGTTGATGTGTCCATTTAGTCTTGTATACATGATTGACCTATGAAGCATGTTTTTCATTTGTGTTACTGTTTGCCCTATACATCTGTCTCATCTTTGACTGAAGGGTGAACATTGGGTGTCACTTTAGTACTGAGTTAAAAGGGTGTCTGGGGGCCATACTCCTGGTGTTTCTCCAGTTTCCATCAGACCAGCAAGTCTGGTTTTTTTGTGCATGTGTGTGAATTTGAATTTTGTTCTATATTTTTCTCCTGCTCTATCCAGGACCCTCTATTGTGATCCCTGTCAGAGCAGTCGGTAGTGGTAGTCAGGCACCATCTAGTTGTTACGGGCTCAGTCTGGCAGAGATTGTGGTAGTTGTGGTCCATTAGGTACTTACTGTTGTGTGATCTTGGACAAATAACTTCATTGAGTATGTTCTTCTGTTAAATTGGGCAAATGATATTCATGAAGTTACTGTGATGATTGAAATGAGTTTTTATAATACATACATAAAGATAGGTTCATTTATATATATAGACTGCCTCAGACATGGGCGATCAATTGCTTCCCCTCCCTCTTTTTAAGAGGTGCTATAGTGAAAAGAAACGAGCTTTGCAGTGAGACCTTGGTTCAGATTTCATCTCTCACTTAATAGCAATGGTTATTGTGAAAACACCTAGCACCAGGGCTTTGAACTGGTTCTTCCTAGTTCAGTCATAGCTGAGGAAGTGACATCAGAACAGACTTGAATTTTTAATATCTAGATGAACTGGAACCATAACTGCAATGGGAAAAATTACAGGTCTGTGCCCTGCTAGAAACATAATCTCCCTCTTAGAAAACAAGGGCAGCATACGTGTTGCATAGTAACTAGATCTCTTGCCCATCAGGTTCTGCACACAGTCATAAACAGTCATGCCCTGTTCGAAGATGGTAGCCAACCATGAGCCTTGAATGTGTGTTGCTCTTGTCAGTGCTGGCAATAATCTAGTCTCACTCATCAGGCTGCTGAAAGGGCTCACTATACCTCTTCCAAGTCTCCCATTCTTGAGCTTCAACCTGTAATTTTTCCCATTCCAGTTATGGTTCCAGATCCACCCAGATTTTAAAAATTTGAGTCAGTTTCGGTTTCACTTCGTTGACCATGACTGAACTGATTCGAACCGGTTTGAAGTCCTGCCTGGCACGTGTTTATCATAAGTTAGATGTTCAAATAATGACTACTTTTAACACTAGAGTTGATTTAGATGGTAATACTTTTACTTTCTTCTAGTTCCTTGCCCCAGCATATGCTAAAACCTTTTATTTCTATTTTTTGTGTATCTTGTATGGCAGGGTTCTATCTTCCTGACTAAATTCCCTATGGGTAGGGACCATATTTTATTCCCTTATCTGTATATTTTGTTACTGTGTCCATAGGGGCTTAATAAATTGTGGGAGATTGACTTCATGGGACTGTTGTTAAAGTCTTATTTATTAAGAATATTAAAAACTTTCCCCTTCCAGACTCCGAAAAACAAAGCTACAGTCTTCAAGTTATGCAGCATATGCCTTTACCTGCCACAGGAGCAGCTCACCCACTGGGCAGTTGGCACCATAGAGGATCACCTCCGTCCTTACATGCCAGAATAGAGCACTGACCAGCACGATGAAGAAGATCAGAGAATGCAGCAGCAATGTTTTTCTTCTTTTCTTACCACTTTATTCTTTCAGAGTTTAAGGAAAATGGACTCATGCACAGAACACTATGCATTTTGAAACTCGTTCATCCTGGATTTTTTTAAATCATTTGTATCTCAGAACTTAAAAAAAAAATTAGATGTCTTCTGCACAGACTGTGTGAAAGAAGATGCTTTGCATATTTGCTGCACTGCATCAGCATCTTACTAAAAATGTGAAGTGAAAGGACTATTGTACACTGAAATGCTTAAATGCATCTGAAAGCACAAGGTGATACTCATTTTTGATGGTCTTCCCATTTATGCTGGTTTTGGCCTCTTTGACATCTGTCATCAGTATTTAGAGGGTGAGAAGTGAATGTAACAGGTATAATGTTTTTAAAAACTTAATAGCTTTGCTATAATCACTGTTGTTCCAGAGTACTGTCAGATTCATTCTAATGACCAGAAGTGGTTGTTTAAAAAAATAAAAGGACAACCACAGGAAAGAAATCTTAAATGAAAAAAAGCATCTCATTGTAGGCATTCTTGCCTCATATTTTACTGGGCCATGTTTGTTTCCTGGTACTCATAAATATGTTTTTTTTTTTTCCAGATCTCTTTTCCCCAAGTTGCTGTTATGAAAGAGTATTCTGCTGAGTGTGGATACAAATTATACACATTAAAGCAGATCTGGAGTCTAAAGTAGCTAATGCAGCTATAAAACTGAGAATACATTCATAGCTGCAGAAACAATGATAGGTAGAGGATTTTCCTTTTTGGTTTTTGTTTTGTTTTTTGGTTTTAAAGAGAAGACATTTGACAAAGAAAATTCCAGTGAATTGTGCATAAATACTGGCTTCTACACCATGTTACAGAAAAACTTATGAGGGTTTTTTGGCAGTAGAAAAAGTTAACAAAAGTTGGGATCTTAAATTGTTTAAAAAAAAAAAAATCGAGTGTTGAAAAGCAGAACTCATTTTGTGCAATGAACATAAGGAAAGACTACTGTATAGTTTTCTGGTGTTTTTTTTCTTTTAAATGAAGAAAAGCTTTGCTTAAGGGTTGCCTACTTATTGGAGTAAATCTGAATGATCCTACTCCTTTGGAGTAAAACTAGTGCTTATCAGTTTCCAGTTGTATTTAGCTTCTGGTTGGAATTTAAAAAATGAAAACCTAAATAAAATAGGTGAAAGTTCCCTGACTATTCAGGGGAATACACAGAACTTGAAGTGGTAACTTTTTTTCCCAAGTCACGGAGTGTTATTTGGTTGTTAATTGCTGTCAGTCCACTGTGACTCCGGGGACTTTATATATAACAACGAAACATTGTCTGGTCCTGTGCCATCTTCATGACTATTGGTATTTTATGATTTATGGTTAAACAGTAAATTTGGTGGGGAGGGAACCCTGTGACAATTGGGTTTGTAATTTTGATCAGAATAGCAAACAAGGACATTTTATCAGCTTTCAGTAGTTATCAGACTGGTCTTAGGCCTTGCTTTGTGGAAAAAAAAAAAATACCAGTCTTAATTTCAAAATGCTTTCACATGTTCTCTGGTCACTTGAGAATTAGAATCTGTTTGAAAGAATCTGTTTATTATGGCCAAGTACTGTTCTAAAGCTCTTAGCTTATTTAACAACTCTGAAAGGAAACCAGTGCAGAGGGTAAATAACTTGCCCAAGCTCACATCATGAGTAGTGGAGGATTTGAAACCAGGCTGTCTAGCTCTAGAGCCCGAGCTCTTAACCATTTTACTATGTATGACAGATTAAGATTTCAGCAGCCATTTGTTTTATTCATCTTTAAATTTTTTTTATTTTGGAATAATTTAATTTCAAATTTAGAAAAGATGCAAGAGTAATGCAGAGAGCTCCTGTATAAATAACCTTTACCCACATTCAGTTTTTAACATTTTGCCACATTTGTTTTCATTCTCTAGGTACATCTTACATGTTACTTTTCTGAACCATTTGAGAATTGGTTGCGTACACTGATTCCTTATCCCTTAGTACTTAAGTGCATGTCCCAAGTACAAGGATATTCTCTTACATAACCATAATAAAATTATCAAATTAGGAAATTTAACATTGATATTATACTTTATCATCCATTTTCCAATTTTTTAAATTGTCACCATATCCTTTATACAGCCCCCTCCCCTTGCATGTAGTTGTCATGTCTCTAGTCTCCTTTTATCTAGAACAGCTCCTCATCCTTTGTTATTTCATGACCTTGACATTTTTGAAGAGTACAGACTAATTTTTTTTCCTTAATATAAAATGTTTCTCATTTTACATTTGAGTTTCTTCATGGTTCAATTTCAGTTATGCATTCCTGTCAACATCCAATGTAAGTGATCTTAGGCCCTTCTCAGGATAACATCCAGAAGCATACTGTCTGCTTGTTTGTGGTGATAATTTTGTTTGCCTGGTCAAAGTGTTGTCCTGTTTCTGCACTGTATGGTTATTTTTCCCCTGGCAACTAAGAAGCAACCTGTGGGAGACAACAGGCAAGTCACATGCTCCTTATCAGGAGCATCACTGATTCCTGCTGAAACCAATCTTTACTATAATGGTTGCAAGATGGTGATTTTCTAAACCTACCCCTCCTTCCACATTTGTCAGCCTTCTATTGTAAGGACCACAAGCCCTCTTTGCCATGCATCGTCTATCTAAACAGCACCAACTGATTTTTTTTTCTTCCTTTGTGCATAATTTGCATGCCTGTATCTTTTTCTTGAGCGCTTCCTTACTTTCAGGCACAAGATAGGTTCATCTTGTAACTTCTGTGTCCTAGCGCCTATCCTGGAATCAGGCATTTCTCCGAGGAGCCCAGGTTTCTTGTACTGGGGAATTACTAGAAATCAACATCTGGGTCTCCTGTGTGTTCACTGTTACTAGGAAGTCTGCTTGTGTCCTTTCAGCAGATAGATCAGCATCCATTCTAACACAGGCAAAAGGATAATCAAGGTTTAACTGTTAGCTTTACTGTGTGTCCAAGTTTATTTAAAGTTGCTTCTTCTCAATCTTTAGTAATGAAATGTTGACAGACTCCCTGATACAGAAATCAAATATTAAGAGTGGCATAGTCAACAAAACTTTGAGAAATAGACAATTTGTGAATATCGTCTTTTGTTGTAAAAATACATATAACAATTGCCAATTTAACATTTTCACATGTACAATTAAGTGACATCAGTTAACAATACTCATGTGCAACCATCACCAATATCCATTGCCAAATTTTCCATTATGAATTTTGTCTTTTTACTACTACAGACTGGGAGATTCAAGATCTTTATGGTTTTATTCTAATAGTATGTTTTTCCCCCTTCTTCAATAAAAAAGATGCCAGTATTGTATAGTGCAACCTGTGAGAGCCAGAACTTGACAGTACTGCCTTGTTTTTCCGGGTCTCAAGTTTTCCACCTTTTACAGGGTGGAGTGTTACCACTTTTCTGTTGGTCTTTGTTAGCGGAAAATAGTTTTCCTTCACTGACAGCTTTCCGCCTTACACAGGTTCTGGCTTTTGCAGGTTTCACTGTAATCTCTATCCTAGAAAAGTAGCACACCCACTGGCCCATTCCTGATATCAGTAATGTAATTTGCCTCAAACTTTCTTAAGGACTATTTTAGACCAGATAACTCAAAATATTTTATTTTCCAGTTTGGGCTACGGTTAATTATTTTGACGTTCCACAATCTTGAAACTGGGTTATAAAAGGAAATGTGACGTGGCATTTTAGAGCTCGGAAGGACCTAAAATTCATTATGGATTAATATTTTTTCCTTTAGCTTAATATTGGACTTCAAGGGTTTTTTTCCCCTAAATTTTATTTTGTTGTTAATATATACAGCAAAACATACACCAAGAGTTTCTACATGTACAATTTAGTGACATTACATTCTTCAAGTTGTACAACCATACTACCCACCTTTTCTGAGTTGTTCCTCCTTCATTAACTCATTGCCCCCAAGGTTCCTGTTTTATCTTTCGAATTGCTGTTGTCAGTTTGATCCCATATAGGTAGTTCTTAACAGCATAATGCTTAAGGCAGACATTTTTTATAGTTAACCTAAACTGTTTGGTTTTAAGATGACTTCAGGGGATACTTTTGTTTAGGTTTAAAGATTATCTCAGGGAAGGTTTCAGGGGTTCATCCAGCCATCCATGGATCCAGAAGTGTGGAATCCCTGAAAATTTTTAAATTCTGTTTTGCATTTTCCCCCTTTTGGTCAAGATTCTTTTGTGGAACCTTTGATCAAAATGTTCAGTAATGATAGCCAAGCACTGTCTAGTTCTTCTGGTCTCATGGCAAAGGAGGCAGTTGTTCAGGGAGGCAATTAGCTACACATTGCATATCCTCCTATTCCTGACTCTCCTTCTATTGCTCCAGGTTAAGAGAGACCAGTTGTGCTTTGGATGGCTACTTGCAAGCTATTAAGACCTCAGGCACTACTAAATGAACTAGGAGGTTGAACAGAAGCACTCAACATGGTTAGGACAATTAACTGGGATGTCCCATGAAACAATGACCCTAACCTCCAAACCAAGGAACCAAATCCCATGAGGTGTTTGGTTGCAGCCTCAGCAGCTACTCTTCACTGTAAATATATCTACACACACAACATTTGTTTTTTTTAATTGTGCTTTAGATGAAGGTGTACAGACCAAATTAGTTTCTCATTAAACAATACACATTGTTTTGTGACACTGGTTGCCAACCCTGCGATGTGTCAACACTTCCCAACTTTGGGTTCCCCATTTACATTCATCCAGCTTTTCTGTCCCCTCCTGCCTTCTCATCCTTGCCCCTGGGCAGGTGTGCCCATTTAGTCTCCTGTACATGGTTGAGCTATGTGTATTATTTGTTTTATGGGCCTGTCTAATCTTTGGCTGAAGGATGAACCTCATGAGTGACCTCAGTAGTGAGTTAAAAGGGTGTGGGGGGAGGGTATCACACAGCTTTTGCCAATTCAGCTTTTTACAGGTGTACAACCTACTGACAGCAATTACAATAATCAGCTGTGCAACCCTACCCTTAATGAGTTATTTCCATCACCATTTACCCATTTTTACCCTCCCTCCTATCCCTGGTAACCACTAATACACTTTGGTCTCTATACATTTGCCTTTTCTTGTCTTTTTATAAAGGTAAGTGAGGTCATACAATATTTTATCCTTTTCTGTTTGGCTTATTTCACTTAACATAATGTCTTCAAGCTCCAACCAATACTGTACCATGTATCAAGACTTAACTGGACTTTAGTTTTAAAGTAATCTTATCACAAGGTGGCGTGGCTAGCTTTTTTGCTTTACTTAAATTCATAGAACACTTTGAGCTAAGAATTTTTTTATCCAGGTAATATATACATGATTAAAAAATAAAATTGAAGAGGCTTAAAATGAAAAAGCACAGGACCACCTACCCCACTCGATCTCTATCTCCTTTTTCCCAGAGAAAATATTTCTTAGCTATTTTTTCTAGTTGTGCTACTTTATTTTGAAAATTTAAAGTCAAATTTACACTTGATATTCATTATTGGGTTTCTTTAGGTCAGACCCTTATTATCCACTTCCCAGGTATTTTATGTGTCTTCCTTGTGCTATTAATTTTCCTGTGGCCTTGTTGGTCAAATCCACAGAGGCAAAGGCAAGTGTTTTTCCTTGCCTCAGAACATATGCTGTAATCACTACATCTTCTCCTATTTTAGCAGGTGACATGTACCTTGAAAAAAAACACATTTAAATATAGTTAAAAGCTAGTAATTTTTAAAAGGGCAAGTTGTGTAAATCTCAAAACAGTCTTCCTATGTTACTTATATTACTCCTAAACATAGTTTATCAGTTGAGCTTTCTGGCCTATCAAATTTGGATGGTTAGTTCTGACCAAGTTCCATCTTACTCACTCATTCCTTATCCACAAGCAAGTTTCTTTTCTCATAAATATGGGAAGGGGTTTCCTTGCCTTTTTTTTCCTTTTAAGTTTCCTAATTCACTGGAGAAGGACATCATGCTTGGTAAAGTAGAGGGTCAGTGAAAAAGAGAAAGACCCTCAACTAGATGGACTGACACAGTGGCTGCAACAATGGGCTCAAGCTTAACGATGATTGTGAGCCTGGCGCAGGACCAGGCAGTGTTTCATTCTGTTGTACATAGGGTTGCTATGAGTCAGAACCAACTCAATGACATCTAACAACAACAACTTCATATTTATTTGGGGCTAGTAGAAGAATTCCTGTAGTTTTCATTTAATCTGCTTAACTTCCAAGTTGAAGTATCGCTTGGTATCTATAGTGCATCATATCAGTATTTAGAATTTACTCAACTCTAAAATGACAATGTAAGAACTATGAAAAATTAATGTGGGGTCCTTACAACCATGATGATGAATTGTATATATGTATTTTTAAGAGAGACACTTCCTACCCACTTACAATCGTTAATTAAGTTGTCTTTAATTCAGCTGACTCCACTAAATTAAAGACTTTGAAGCATGAGGGCTGTTTAAAACAATGTTAATGTTTTAAAAGGAAATAATTTCCTTACCGTTTATTAGTATCTTTCTGCTTTTTATAAAGCAAGGAACTTTAAAAAAAAAAGATGTATTTTTGCTACTCTGAAAGGACTTCAGTGTTTGTGGCTGGAAGGCATAAGGAAGTTGGGACTTTATTGCTAGAGAGAACACAGGGTAGGTTGAATTTGTGTACCTCAATTTAAAGAAGTCAAAATGGCATGTTTAGTAGCAATTTACCAAGTTTTCATTATTTCCCCCAAAACTGTATTATAAATCAAGAATTTTGGCAATAGGCTATTAACTTAAATGAAACCAGGGGAGGGGGTGACAAGCAACCCCTTATGCTATACGTGAGCAAACATTAAATCTGGAAAATTCAGAAGCTGGCATTCTCTCAACAGTATTCCTATTCTAGGAGTCCTATCCTGGCTCAAACAGGTAAGCACTTGGCTACTAACAAAAAGCTTGGAAATTTGAACCCATTTGAGGCGCCCTGGAAGAAAAGCCTGGCGATCTGCTTCCAGAAGGTCATAGCCTTGAAAACCCTATGGAGCAGCTCTCCTGCTTTGCACACATGGGGTCGCCATGAGTCAGAATCAACTCAACGGCAGCTAACAACAACAAACAACATTCCTATCCTAGCATTATCCTCTCTAAGTCATAGTCTGACAGACGTCTTTAGTCTGTGTAATCTAGAACTTAAGGTGCACAGATAGAGTAAATTTGGTACCATGTTAGTGGTAGTACAAAGAGTCAATCATAAGGTATTCCTTGACTGAAACGTTTTAAGTTACTTTTGAAATACGTATGGTAAATCTTTGAGACTAAGTCCTAGTTTCTGTTCAAGTGAATTAATTGTTGAATCTAAGGGAGCTCTTGATAGTGGCCAATGCTTTTGGCAACACATATTTTGAAAGGCCAAAACTGTGTATGATTCATTAAAAATTGTTTAGGGTTGTGAAAGCAGCAGTATCTTAGAACATCATGAAATACAGCGCTAGGTTTGAAGCTCTCTACTCTCACTAGAGGCGTTTAAGGAAAAGTAGAGTCATCAACCGGTCTTACCCCCCAACATGTGTAACAAAATAGACTGCTCAACATACTCACCAGTAACATAGCAGACTTTTCTTTTTTGTAATCTTAATTTCAAAAGAGAATTTATCTGCATCTTGTCTTGTGGTTTGCTTATTGAGCCCTCAATTTAAGTCATTCCCACAGTAAAGCAGGGACTGAATGTTTCATAGTCTCATAAAAGGTTTAGATTGTTAAAAAACCCAATAACCTACATATTGCCAATGTCTCGAACATTGACTCTTTCACCCCAACTCCCACCTGTCCCCCCAAAAAATAGATTTTCCTGTTGCTTAGATAGAAAAAGCAATTGTCTTGCAACTAAATCCCTGAGCCCTGTACACTTTAGGAATTGGACTGGGAACCGTACTTGTTTATGTTGGAATTGAATTTTTTAAATTTTGGAAAAGTTTGACCCTTGTAGGCACTTTCACAACAGTGAGTGACAGCCTGATATCTAGAGTACTACTCCCTGATGACGTGGTATAAACCTACAGAACCTGTCTGCAAAGTCTCAGGGAAAGATCCAGGATTACCATCTTTTCTTAAGACTGGACACTTGTGTTCACCTTGTTACAACAAGATTACAATGTGCGTATGAAAGTTTCTCCAACTTTCTTTGAATTATATTCTGTGAATAAGTTCTGTAAGTATATGGACTCCATACAACCCTCGTACGACATCTGTAGAAGTGACACTTTTAAAGACTGTTAAGAAACAGTTACCAGGAGTGAGTTTTTGATGATCTTCCCATTAGTATACATATTAGAAGCTGTACTTGGAAGTCAATGAGCCCTGGTAGTGCGGTGGTTAAAGCGCTCAGCCGCTAACCAAAAGGTCGGCAGTTCGAACCCACCAGACACTCCATAGGAGAGCGATGTGGCAATCTGCTTCCTTGGGAACCCTATGGAGCAGTTCTACTCTGTGCTATAGGGTCGCCATGAGTCAGAATTGACTCGATGGCAACAGATTTGGTGTAGTACTCAGAATTTAGTTGCTCTAGTTACAGATTTTAAGCCCATGGAACGTTTTAAGGCAAATCTATAGTTGCATTTAAGGATGACCAGCTAAGCAAATCTCATGCTTTATTTATGTTATATATGTGTTTAATCTCAGTTGTTTGAAAGGAGTTACCACATTTTAGAAAGTTGTCTGGGGTACAGTTTGGATACATACGTTATGTCCAGATTGGCACTGACTCCGGCTACTCCCCTTTCTGTGCATAGCAGAGCCAACGTTGATATGTCATCCACTATGGTGGCTGTCAAACCACCATGCAGAGTGCCCCCTACATTGGCATGCTCTTCTTCCACTTTCATTTCACAAACCACTCTCCCAGGAGCATGAGAGACAAGAGTCACCTAATGTAACAAAAAAAAAAAGAGAGAATTTTGAACATTCATGCTGTGGTGTCAAAAAAGCCCAAACAGTCATCAAGAACTATCATTGGATTAAACTGGGAATCTCTCCTAAAAAGTTCTTTCAGAAATTCAAGTAAGCCACCAACACCCTAGAATAGAAATTAACCCTTATGAAAAGCGGGAATTTTTGTTTATTGTAGTTTAAGTTAAAGTTTACATTTCAAGTTAGTCTCTTATATAAAAATTTATACATGCATTGTTATGTGACCCAAATTGCTCTCCCTATACTGTGACAGCACACTCCTCCTTTCTACCCGATTTCCCATGTCCATTCAACCAGCTCCTAACTCTCTTTGCCTTCCCATCTCACTTCCGGACAGAAGCTGCCCATTTGGTCTCATGTGTCTACTTGAGCTAGGAAGCACACTTCACAAATATCACTTTATCTCTAAAGTGGGAATATTTAAGGAAAAGTTGTAGTACTTGCTAACCCCCACTTTTCTACACCAACAAAGTCAGCTGGTCACTGTGATCTGTTAACCCACTGTAGCTTCAACTTGGGTCTTCCCAAGTTTTTACAAGCAGAATAATTTTTTAAATGACTTTGTAATAAACAATCCAAAGTAATTAAAAAAAAAAAAAAGACTTGTAAGTTAGGGATAACTTCTATTTTGCAGATAACTTAAATTCAGAATGGTTTATTTGCAAGGTCACATAAGATGTGATGGAACTGAGATTTAGGTCTAGATCTGTCTACCTTCAAGTTCCCCTAATTACTAACTATAAAGACATATAGTGGCCTTTATGGGTCCTTCCACCAGAAAGACATTTTACAAACTACAATTTTGGTGGCTTTGTAGTTTTTCACCCAGAAGGCCCTGAAATACAACAAAACAGAATCACACAATATAAGCTTTCCTAAATAATATTATGTCATGTTTTGCTCAAGAGGTATCAAAGGGAAAAAAATAAATAGAATAGGATTGAGTCTCTTTATAGCAATAAATGATCTAGCCACAAGATGTCCTCATAAATCAATTATACACACCAAGCAGGAAAAAAGGTGTAAAATCACCTTATTCGGGCATTTACATGAGACTTTATAGCACATGTTGACAATACAAAGATGAATAAAATCTAATCCCTGCTTTTAGGGGGCTCTCAGTCTAAAGAAGAGACAAATACACAAACTGCCACAATAAAGGGAAGTGCTGCAGATAGGATAAATACAGGCCTCAAGTAGGAAAAAAAACCAGTTGCCATAGAGTTGATTCCGACTCATGGCGACCCTATGTTTGTCAGAGTAGAACTGTGCTCCGCAGGGTTTTTCCAATAGGTGATTTTTCAGAAGTAGGTCACCAGGCCTTTCTTCTAGTCTCCTCTGTGCGGAATCAAACCTCCAACCTTTCGGTTAGCAGCTTGAGCGTGTTAACTGTTTACACCACGCAAGGACTCCTAAAGTAGTTTTCAGGGGAGAGGCATTAGGAAAGGCTTCCTGGAGAATGACATCTGAGTCTTGAAGGACACACAGGAGTTAGCCAGATGAAGATGGGGAAGGAGGCCAGGTGGTTCAGGAAATAGAAATTAATATGAGAGCCTCACAGCACCAAAGGGGGTTTAGTATAGTTTTAAGGCACTGTGTGTTTAGTAGAAGTCAGTACTTCCAATTCTATTTGATTATCTTTGGTTGGGATGACAAAAGGTAAAATAAATCAGTGTTGGATCTTCTACCACAGAATACTGTTTTGTTTTTTAAAATTTTTGTTCTTCCCAACTAGAAAGGCCAAAGGCCATGCTAATATATATGACTAGAATAGAGGTATACAACATTGGAATACAGATAACTTTGTACTAGTCAGCCTGGTATGGCAAGAGAAATGTTTTTATGTGTTGCCAATTCTTGTAAAATAAAGGACTTGAGGCAATGAGTGGTAGTTTCCATAGTGTAGTAGTTAGCATCTTGCCTGGTCTGCGGCAGACAACTGGGTCAATCTGGGCAGTCCTAGACAGTAGTGGCTAAAGATGGTCCTGATTTATCAGTTATTTGTGAGAAGATGGGTGTGGGGCCTTTTATGTCGCCATAGGGCCAGAAATATGCCTGCCATGGTCCCCGACAACATGGAGAACTGCCCAGATATGTTCCATTCTCAAATTCCAGTAGGTGGGCAAGAACCTTTATGGCTCAGCCCTGTCTGATACAACGAGCTCCTCAGTTTATCATAAAAATTGTCTTATACGTGCACACACACACATATAGCCATCTGTCCCTTTTCTATATGGCCTTCAATGTGCTTCTCCTTCCTGCATCTCATGCAGTCATGTGAGTTTATATTACTCTGGTGGCATACTGGTTAAGAACTCAGCTGCTAACCTAAAGTTTACCAGTTCGAATCCACCATCCACTCCTTATAAACCCTATAGGGCAGTTTTACTCTGTTCTATAGAGTTGCTATGAGTTGAATCGACTCAACAGCAATGGGTTTATGATGCCACAGTACCTCGTCCACCCCTCAACAGCTAGGCTCAATTTCCAACAAAGATAAATATGCTCCAGGTGACAAACACACACATTCTCTCCTCACATTTCAGCAAAGACAGAATACCAACTAAAAACCAAACACACTGCCGTCAAGTCAATTCTGACTCATAGTGACCCTAAAGGACAGAGTAGAACTACCCACATGAGAAAATCTGTGTGTAAACAGAAATGTGAGTCAACCAAGAAGGAAGACTACATATGAAAGACAATACATACACACAAGAGCACAAAGAGTAGACAGTATGAGTGGATGAGAATTTTGTGTATTTGTGAAAGAGGCTGTTTTCAAACAACTTGCCCCAATGACACTACTGACTTCACACGTGTTGTGCAGATGCCAGAAGGAGTGTGTCTGAGGACAATGTATGAATGTAGCCGTATATAAGCAGGAAATTAGGTAAAGAAGGTAAGAACACAGGAGGTGGCAATGTGATGGCAGGGTTACCGCAACAAAGAATAGATAAAAGTATATTAAAGGCTATTAAAAGGTATACACTATAAAAGTATGATGGTTCAATCACACTGTATCAGTCCAGCCTTTTAGTTTTATAATAAATGTGTATTCTTAGTAGTTTAATTATACAGGTGGGGGCACTGGTGGTTCAGTAGTGGAATTCTTGCCTTCTGTGCAGAAGACCAAGGTCGATTCCTGCCCAATGCACCTCATGCACAGCCGCTACCCATGTGTCAGTGGAGGCCTGCATGTTGCTATGATGCTGAACAGGTTTCAGTGGAGCTTCCAGACTAAGCCAGACTAGGAAGAAAGGCCTGGCAACCTACTTGCAAAAATCAGCCGATGAAAACCCTGTGGATCCCAACAGTCCGATCCACAACCGATCATAGGGATCGTGTAGGACCAGGCAGCATTTCATTCTGTTGTGCATGGGATTGCCACGAGTTGGGGCCAGCTTGATGGCGGCTAACAACACAGCTCAATGGCTAAGAGCATTGGCTCTGGAGCCAGAATTAGGCAAGATTCTCAACTTCTCGAGTCTCTGTTTCCTCATCTATAAAGTGGAGATAATAATAGCACGGCCTTCATAGGGTATGTGTAAAGATTAAGATAAAATTCAAATTGAGCAGTTAGAACAAGGCCTGGTATAGCATAGGTGATCAAAACATTTTAATTGTCATCCTTATCAAAGTTATGACCCTAGAACACAACCATCATCAAACTGAAAGTTTGGTTTGAATAGTTTGGCATGGATTTTCTTAAAATTGCTCAATTGAAACAGTTTCTATTGCCAACGGCAATGAGCGGACACTTTTCAACCTTTCCCTCATCTGACCTCTCAGCATTCTGTGACATTGTGGACCTTTTCTGGCCTGCCCTTAACTCCTACAACTCCATATTCTCCTACACCACTAGTCACTCCACAGTCTCCTTTGCAATGCCCACCAGGAGTCTTAGGGTCAACTAATCATTCAGACTCGAAAGACTACCAAAGGCCACACTTAGTATCAGATCCAATCAGAAGGATACGGGACAAGTTCTCTAAACTTAAGCACTATACCGTCTTACTGGTTAACAGATGGGCTTCGGAGCAGACAACTTGGATTTAGACCCACTTACTTGGAGCCCTGGTGGCATAATGGTTAAGAGCTACAGCTGCTAACCAAAAGGTTGGCAGTTTGAATCTACCAGCCACTCCTTGGAAACCCTATGAGGCAGTTCTACTGTCCTATAGGGTTGCTATGAGTCAGAATTGAGTCAACAGCAACGAGTTTGGTTTTTTTTCACATGGTGGCCCTGGCGGTGCATTGGTTAAGCACTCAGCTGCTAACTGAAAGGTTGGCAGTTGCAACCCACTAGCTGCTCCATGGGAGAAAGATGTGGCAGTTTGCTTCCATAAAGATTCCTGCCTTAGAAACCCTATGGGGAAATTCTACTCCATCACATATGGTCACTAAGTCAGAACTGAATCGACAGCAATGGGTTTACTAGCTATAAGACCTTGGGAAAGGTACGCTTCAATTTTCTTCTGTGTAAAATGGGGATAATAAAAGTACCTACCTCACACGGTTGTTGTGAGGGTTAAAGGAGATAATGTAGGTAAAATAGTATAATGTCTGGCTCAGAGTTCTCAATAAATGTTAGTTATTATTGAAAGTACCAAAACTGTGAAAATGACCCTTGCCCACTTGCTTTTCTCCTTGCTGTCAGAACTTTCATTAGTTTTGAAGACTTGAACAAACTCTGAATATCCAGGTGCTTTTCTAAAGGCTAAAAGGATGCTAAAGGAGCCCTTGGCAGTGCAGGGGTTAAAGCGTTTGGCTGCTAACCGAAAGGTGGTGGTCTGAACCCACCAGCCACTCTGTGGGAGAAAAATGTGGCAGTCTGCTTCCACAAAGATTACAGCCTTGGAAACCCTCTGAGGCAGTTCTACTCTGTCCTATAGGGCCTCTATGAATCAGAATGGATTCAAGGGCAATAGGTTTTGGTAATATCATCCTATCAGAT